GGGGGGGGGGAGGGACAAAACGAACGCATGAACGAACGAACACAGACACATTGTGCGCAGTTTTGGTGCGCCCGCCATACCTACCGTATTTCTCCAGTTCTTTGAGCTGGAGTGAGCCCATGTCGATGTCGCCCTGCTCTGTCACCTTGAGCTCCTCTATCACACTGCATGCCATCCATCCATCCACAGAGGTGCTCATGTGCGTGTGAGTGTACCTGAGGAGCGCCTGTATGTTGACCCCGGCTGCTTCAAGTGCCTTCTGCACATGACGATCTCGCGGCAGCTGATCGATCGATGCCGATGCACACACAAATGGGTGCGTGTGTGTGCATACATGTGTCTGGGCATCTGTGTGTGTGTACCATGGCAATGAGGTGCCTGACCTGCACCACCTCCCCCCTCTCCCCCGCATAACGCTGAAGCCACACACCACACCACATTTACACCACACACAGACAGCGGTGTGTCTATGCTATGTGTCGCTTGTGTGTATACCGACCCCGCCCACCTCTGCCAGCCGAAAGATGGACACAAGCGCGCCGCTTGGCGGGGCGCTCGATTGCCCCTACACACAACACCACACACACAGGGGGAGAGGGAGAGAGAGAGAACCATTCACACAGACGCACGAAAGTGGGTTGACAGTCACAAAAAACGGCTGTATGAGTACAATGAGAAGACAGTAGGTAATTTTATTGTATTGTCTCATTCAGGCATACATAGAGTCGGTGTTCGTAGCTAGAGATGACTCTCGAAATGCGTCTACCCATGGCTGAGTGTACCAGTTCAGGATGCACACGCGGCAGCCGACCGATCTCGTTGTTCAACGTCTCCTGTAAACTGCACACACCACACACATACGCACACACAAAGACTATGTGTGTACGCCTCTGCCGGCACTGTCGGCACACCTCTCTCTCTCTCTCTTTCTCTGTCTGTGTGTGTGTGTGTGTGTCTGTGAGGGTAGGCTTACACATTGACATCGCCCCCGGCCCGCTCAAGCAGCTTGCAGCCTGACATATACGGCCACAGACACACGGACACATCCACACTCGACAATATCGTGTGTGTGTGTGTGGATCGTACCGAGGTCGCTGCTATCTCTGAATATGGCAGCGGCGAGGTGCAGAGGGATCGTCTGCTGGTGGTTGTACTGCTGGGCGTACGACTGCACACACACACACACACACATCGATGTACTCACAAACACGCAGGCACCGATGTGTGTGCGCCCATCTGTCTGTCTGTCTGTGTGGTGCTGAGGAATGGGTATATGCTGACCTGCGCGACAGCGACCATCTCAGCGGCCTTCTCTGTCGAGTCCTTCGTGAACCCCTACACATCACACACAGCACCCCACCATAAGCACATGTGTTGGATGTGTGATAAACATTCTGACTGACCTCAGTGCCCCTGCCTCCCCTGAATGTGGCCGCATGTGTGCTGGGCACACACCACACACACGCCAGCACCACCACCAGCATCACACGCATCACGGCACCTGAAGCAGACAGACACTCACACGCGCGCCGACAGAGAGAGATCTGCTCGTCTGCGCAGTGCCCCTGGAAGTCTGCTGCTCTCTGCGTGTGTGTGGCGTACGGCACGGCAGCTACCTTTCACTGTGACAGCTGGGATCTGCTCCTTCTTCATTGTGCAGACGGCAAGTTGAACGACATACACACCACACCGAGGTGAGATGCGATGAGATGCTGTTAGAAGGTCGACTGCCCACAAGCAAACACTCCCAGAAAACGACTACGCAGCCAGCGATGACTTGGAGCGGAGTGCGAGCTCACGACAGAACGCACTGCGAGCTTACCCCTAAAGCCCCCATTTGATCTGGACTCTGAGAAATCTGGACTCTGAGAGAGCGAAACGAAGTGTCGTTGCTAGTAGTACAGGGGATGCAGTGACAGTAGGTGGGCGATACTGTGCTGGAGAAGAAGGTGGGCAGAGGGAGAGAGGGAGGGGGTCTCCTGCTCTGCAATGGACATCATGTTGCTGTCATTGTCGGCTGTCCTCCTCAGTGTAGCCATTCATTTTGCTCTATTCTGCAGTGTAGCCAGAGCCATCCATATCTGCAAAGGTACGCACACACCAGCTGCAGCCATCCAATGCTCTCTGTGTGCCTGTGTGTACGTGTGTACGTGTGTATGTGTGTGTCAGGTGGTATAGGTGTCAGTAGACAGCTATCGTCGATCGCTTCGTTCGATGGGCGGCTCCCTCGCCGGTCACAACGATTGGCAGCAACTGCACTTTGCAATCGACTGGCCTTGCAACAGGTCAGTGAATGGACGATGGACACACGCGCAGAGAGAGAGGGGATGTGTGTGTGTGTGTGTCTGTGGATGGGGTCAGTCGTGATGTGTGTGAGTTCAATTGGCTGCATCTGGAGATCGATATCGGTCTGTTCGTGGCCTCGTTCGTCCTCATGCTCGCCGTCTTCTACCCTGCCACACGATGGTACGTACGTATGTGTATGAGTATATGGCCCGCCCGCCCGCCAGACAGCGAAATGACAAATAATAATAAGCTGCATTGGCTGGCTGGCCGCCATCGATGTGATTGATGTGCGTGTGTGACGGTGCTCGCGATTGATGCAGTCTGCAAAAGGTGGACCGGCTCGTCTACCTGCGGATACAGCTGCGCAACAAAATGCAAAGTCAGCGAGCACACATCCATCCATCCATCCATCTGTGTGTGTGTGAATGTCGTGTGTGCAGGTGCATTCAAGCTCGAGTACCACCACGGCACGGCCTCAGTGGTATTCGTGCTGGCATCGGGGCCGCTGATACAGTGCGTCATATTCGTCATTCGATCAAGCATGTGTGTATGGGGGCAGACACAGATATGACACTCACAAAGACAGAGAGAGAGAGAGAGAGGCGGAGGCCTCATTTGCACATTCGCTCCCGTGTGTGTGTCTGTGTGTGTGTGTGGCGATGTGTCAGGGAGCGTGTGACAATCACGACCTGGCTGATCGAGCTGACGGTGGCGGTGCTGTCCTTCCTGAACACCGTCGTCTTCATTCTCACATCACGACCGAAGTCAGTCAGCACACATACACACAGATGAGTATGTCTGGCACGCGTGGACGCCTTGGCTTCTGTAGGACTCGTCTGAAGACGCTGGAGAGTCTCTCGTCTGCTTTGGTGTTGGATGCGCTAATCTTGCCGAGCATTCTGTCAATGCTCTTCTCCAAAACGTGGTCAGTGGACGAAGGCGCCGTGTGTGTATATGCATGCATCTCTCCGTATCGGCTGTTCCAGCTTTTCTTTCTCTTTCTTTGCGTCGATTCGCGTGATTCAGCTCTACAAAAGGTGTGCAGTCCCGGCACAGAGCAAATACGTATGTGTCAGCATTCTCTGTGTGTGTGTGTGTGTGTGTGTTTGTGTAGGTTTTTGGATTCCTCGTCGGTGAAGCAGTCGTCCATCGCGATGCAGATCGTCTCGGTGTCGATACACATCGGCGTATTCATCTATGTATGTACGCGCACATAACCCACCGGACCCACACAGAGACACAGCCGCATATATATATATATATCTATATCTGTGTGTGTGTGTGCGTCATTGTCTGATGCAGTGTTCGGCGTGCATATTCCTGTGTCTGGAGCGTGCTGGGAACCCGGATTTCCTTCGGTTCAGCATGCCCTTCCATCTCACCGGTCAGTCAGACATCGACAGACACATACAGAGGGAGGGAGAGAGGGAGAGGGAGGGAGAGACATTGTGTGCATGTTATGTGGGTGGATTTAAATGCAGAGATAGAGGGCGACGGTCTTGGGATTAGCAACGAGGGACTGGACTTCTTCTCGTCGTGCTACTTTGTGATGGTACCTATGTGCACATGCACACAGCACACGTGCGACGCAATGCAATTCAATTCGATACAGGTGACCATATCGACAGTGGGCTATGGCGACGTATTCCCCACCACATCTCTGGTGTGTATCCTTCACACACACACCACAGACACGCACCACACAGACCGACTCCTGTCACCGGATGTCCCTCTCTCTCTCTCTCTCTGTGTGTGTGTGTGTGTGTGTGTCTTGAAATAAAGGGTCGTGCTTTCTCCGTGCTGATGATCGCCGGCGGCATCGCCGCCTTCAGCATATCCACACGCGCACTTGTGGAGGCATTCAGGTCCGTACATACAAACACACACACGCTCAGACGGAAGAGAACGCTTTCACGTGTGATTGGGACGCATGCAGGGTGAACCAGCTTGGCCATGGGACGTACTCGCCCAAGAAGCGGTTCAAACACATTGTGGTCACGGGCAACCCCACCGTCAACATGTGCAAGGCACGTCTACGCACACAAACATCAGTGTCTCTCTCTACCTCCACACATGTGTGTCTCTCTCTATTGGTGTGTGTGTGTGCGTAGGATTTCATCACCGAGCTCTACCATCCGGTGCGGGCATTGGTTGCATTCGTGTGTGTGCACACCACACACATGGGATGGGACCGGGTGTCACATATATGTCATCGCAGGACCACTCGGAGGAGTCAGCGCTTATCGACGTGATATTCCTCCTGTCGGGCGGCGAGAAGAGGGGCAGCTACGGTACCTAGTTCACACACAGACGAACACACACACACGTGTGTGTATGTGTGTGTGTGTGTGTATAGGTATGGCTGTGCTCGAGTCGCTCAACAATTGGCTTCGTCACCGCAGCAACAGACACCTCGCAGAGCGGGTCAACCTGCTGCAGGTCACACACACACACACAGAGGGAGAGAAAGAGAGAGAAAGATGAGTGTGTGTGTGCGTGTGTGTGTGGTTCCCTCTATGGGCAGGGATCCATCCTTGAGGTAACCTTGTCTACTATTTTTTGTCTCCCACTTCCGAATGAACAATGCGTGTCTCTTTTTCGCTCATGGTTGAATCACTGACTAATCAGCCATCCGACTTCTGGCGGTCTGCGGCTCCCTCGAGCACCGCCATCGTCATAATCGCAAACCTCTACTCACGGGAGTCAGAGCCAGCATGCAGTCCCATATATATATGGCTGATATACATGTACGCCTTTGTATATCTGTGTGTGTGCAGTCCGAACGTGGAAGACTCGGAGAATGTCGTGAGGGTGCTGAGCGTCAAGCAAAGGTTGCCCGATGTGCGTGTCATGTGTCTGCTCAACAAAGCGCAAAACTACTCCCTGCTCAAGACGGCTGGTAGACCACACGGATGACACACACGGAGAGAGAGAGAGAGAGAGAGAGAAGGAGAGAGAGACACGCACACAAGTTGCTGTTGTGTGTTCATTTCACAAAGACTTGACCAGAAGGGATGTGGTGTGCCTCGATGAGTTCAAGCTGCAGGTCATCTCTAAGGGATGCGTCGTGCCAGGTGGGTGAGAAGTATGGGTGGGGCAGACAGTCCAGTCCTCACACACAAACACACACGCAACGCGATCGATGCAGGCTTCTCGGCGCTGATATGCAACCTGGTCAAGTCGATCAGCGACGACGAGATCGGCAGGGAGGGCGACCCACAATGGCTGCAGGTCGGCAGGCACATGACTGCTGTGCTGCGCACAATGGGTGTGTGGGGTGTGTGTGTCAAAAGGAATACGACAAAGGCATCACGAACGAACTGTACGAGCTCCCTTTGTCTCGCGCATACGTCGGATGGCAATTCCAGGCACGTCAGCCCCATCCACATCATCCCCTCAGTGTGAATGTGCCTCACGTATCTGTGTGTGTGTGTGTGTGTGTTTGCACAGGATGTCTTTATCGACATATTGCAGCGCAGCTCCGGGCGGTCCGTGCACCTCATCGGATTCAGAGTGAGCTTATGAGCCAGGAACAAACACCCACACGGACATGTGTGTGCATGGTCAATGCAGTACCCATCGTGGTATCGCGCGCCGCCAGAGGAGACACAACAGTGAGACACCATTCTATGCACACGCACACACACACACAGACACACATCCATGCAAGTGCTTGCAGGCCTGACGACAACCAAAACAGCTCGACAAGGGGGTCCATCGGGGCATGGTCTCTCGCAGGTCCGTGTTCATGTCGATGCTGTCTACACACATGCATTGAATCTCTTAGTGTGTATTGTGAGCAGGGTCGCTGAACATGTCGATGAAGCGGCAGCACACCCGCTGGGGCGACTGGGGACTCAACGCGCCTGACGGACACGTAATCAAGGACAGAATGCACCTGTATTCTGTGTGTGCGTCTGTGTGTGTATGTCATGTGTAGGCCACTGCCATCTCTCCCTTCCACACGACGATGACCAACATCAAAGACAGCAGCAGCAAGGCCGTTGCAGGAGAGCCTAACAGCAACAGCAAAGACGACCCCACAGCCAAAGAGATCCCCCCCATCATCTTCTTCCCCGGCAGCGCCTTCCCCATCCCTCCACCCACACACGCAAACACACAGGCAGAGGCAGTCGACAACGCCGTCTCCGTCAGTCGACAGCCGAGCTGGTCAAACACAGGTAGGCGCCAAAAGACAAAAGACAGAACGTCAAAAGACTCTCTCTCTCTCTCTCTCTGCCTGTGTGTGCGTGCATGCTCATAGATTCGTCTCGCGTCAGCGGTGATGAGACGCCCGTCCCCGCACTTTCGCCGAGAGGCGACGACAAGCGTCCCGTCCTCCGGAGACAGCGCACGCAGAGCATCACCATGCGCATGTTCCGGGCTTTCATTAGGGGCGGGTCGACCACCATGCACGAGGGTACCCAATGCATCCACACACACCACACACATTGGGTGTGTGGATGTCTTGTCAGCTCAAGTCGGCTCGCCCGACCCCACGAGCAGAGAGGCTTTCAACCCCAAGACGTCACCCAGAGGTGCGTACGCGCATCTCTGCAGAGACACACGAAGACACCAAGATTCACACGTGTTTCTGTGCTGTCGCTTTGTGGTGTTCAATGTGCATGTGTAGGAATAGGTGAGATGACGGAGAGGGATGGAGAGAAGCCGACCCAAGAGGCAGACAGCGACGACAACAAGACGCCCTTGGGCGTCGGCATGATATACGGCATCTTCATTGCCGGGGTGGGCTGTTAGCTGACATTCACATATTGGACAGTGGGTGAGTTTGTCTGTCTGTCTGTCTATCTGTAGGATCGCGAAGCCATCGTGCAGAAGCCTGAAGACGAGATAGAGGTTGCGGCACAGACAGAGGAGTCCCCCGCCCCTAAGATCGTCAACAAAGGCATGCATCCCTCAGCCATTCATTCACTGCCCACTGTCTCCGCGTGTATGTGCAGGGTCGATCCTCAAAGTGGCGCAGACCCTCATCCACAAATCAGCCAAGAGACGATCCGAATCCAACGAAGCCGATCACCGGACAGATCCACCACAACCAGACACAGAGCCACCACAACCAGCACCCCTCCCTGGTGCAGTCTCTGCCCCCTCCCCCTCCCCAGCACCACAACCAGCACCACTGAGGCATCAGCAGAGCATACCCCTCTCCACCTGCAGCAAGAGATCTTCTTTCGCGGACCCACTCCCCCCTCAGCTGCCACCAGCTCTGCCCTCTCCCCCTCTCCCGTCAGACGACCCCCATCTCGACACGCCATTCGTCCACTCCGTCACCCAGAAGCAGCCTATCAACCTTGCAGAGGCGTTCCTCAAGCGAGCGGAGAGCGGCGATGGTCCCCTTGACCGTCCCAGACTGAGCGTGCCCAGCGTCCCCGCCGTTGCTGACGATAACGCAGCCGAGACAGCAGAGAACAACGATGAGTCTGCTCTCACGTTCAGGGGCCAGCAGGTACACCCTGCTCCTGCCTGGCTGGTGGCCAACCGGCGGCTGCTAAAGCGCAAGAAGTCGAGCTTCATCATGGAGAAGGGGCTTGAGAACTGTTCGCTCGAAGAGCTCTTCCTGACGCGGCTGCACTCCCTGAAGGAGATCGGCAGAGCTCCACAGGCCCCGCCGTTTGAGTGTCTCGTCAACGGGGGACACATTTTGCTTTGCTGGACGCCGGGCAATGACGATTCAGGGTGGCTGGGGCTGGAATACTTGTGAGCAGCCACATGCCCTCATCAGCCTTATGTGCATGGGGCATCTGTCTGTGTGTGTGTTGTGGTGGTCAGTTTGCGGCCGCTCCGTCTGGCTGCGCGTCAGGGGCAAGGGACGGATAACGCTGTCGAGACGAATTCCGACGTGCCCTTCATGCCGCCCATGAAACAGCGCAGCCAAGACATGCTACACTCGTGAGAGAGACATTTAATCTACCCTTTCATTTACACGCAGACAGGGATACACAGAGCTTTGTCTGCAGAACTCCTGATCGCTCCAGGACAGCCACGTTCGGCCGCTCGCGGCGTGTGAGCATCAGTGTGGACGCGCTGAGCAGCACTCAAACCAAGGAGAGGAGGGGCAGCAACCTTAGTCTCGGCGGTGGCCTCAGCAGCACGGTCAACGGAGGGCTGCTGCCCGTGGTTGTGCTCGGTATGTGCACAGGCATAGAGAGACAGAGGTGCATTGTGTGTGGTGTGGATCAGTGCCCATCATCCCGCGGGATTGGTGTCTGGTTGCGGACGACCCGATGTTGTTCTACGTCGAGGGCAGCAGCACCAACCTCTTCGACCTGGAGCGATGCGCTTTCCGGCGCGCAAAGGCCATCGTCGTGCAAGCAAACCCCAGCAGTCAGTCCGACACCTCCGCACACACATATGAGATGAGGAACAGCAGTGTGGGTGTGCTGTGCGTGGGTGCGCAGGCGAGGCAGTGAACGACCCTTACATGATGGACGCGTCGACGGTGTTCTCTGTCCGGCTGGTGGAGGGACACCTCACTGACAAGTCACTGCTGGCCAGCCTCCCCGGCAAATCCAGCAGGTGCGTCCGTGCGTCTGAGAGAGTCTCTCTGCATGTGTGTGGGATGCATTGGCAGGCCGCCGTCCCCGACAAGTCAGCCGGAGGAGGGCAGCCTGCTGACGCGCACCATGGACCTGCTGCCGTGCTTCCCTCTGGTCATTGCCGAGCTGGTCTACGACGGTATACATGACAAACAATCGGTCGGCACACGTGTCTCTTGTCCAGTAGTCTCTTGCTGTGCGTGATGGGTGCATATGCAGGCAATGTCGCCTTCATTGCCCGCGATCGAGACGTAAGCACACATGGACGCCTTTCTCCCATCCGATGAATCTCTCTCTCTCTCTCTCTCTGTGTATGTGTGTGTCAGAACCAGCTTGCCAACGAGGCAGCTGACGTAGGCGGCCAGTCACAAAGCGCAGAAGCGGCCGCAGAGAGAGAGGGAGATGACACGCCGCACGACAGCAGAAGAAGAGCACACATCAACAAAGACGATGGCCACGACATCTCTGACCAAGAGGGCAGCGAGAGCAGCAGGTACACGCCACTGCACCACCCAGAGGCAGCCCCAGACCCCGCCACAACACTTGAGGACACCAACGGCGCCAACCCGAGACGCACCAGCTTCGCAGCCATGTTCGGCCACTTTCTCGGCGGCCAGCACCACCACCAGCACAGCCTAAGACGGTCATTCATCCGATATTCCATGCCAGCCATCGATGAGCAACACCAACAGCACCAGCAAGAGCATCAAGAGCAGCAGAGCGACTCGAGAAGAGGCAGCACCCGAGTCAACCGCCACTCGACGCAGGCCATCCCGTCAGCTGCACCGATCAAGCGGACCTCTGTTGACCGAAGGAAGGCGAGCACTGAGCAGAGGAGGCAGTCGATGTCGATCCTCGACGTCCTCGTGTCGCCCCGCAAACGCACGAGAGCGTCCTCTGCAGCTATATCGCCCATCATGGAGCCACCGACAGCCAGCAGCAGCAAGGAGAGGAAGTTCGCGCGAATGACGTCGCGCGAGTCCAACAGGCGGATCTCTGACCGATCCACACAGCCCCTGAGCAACACTAGCAACGCCAGCAAACAGGTGAATTTGCGGGCAGTGTGGCCACACACGAGCCTGAGAGAGGAGGGCGGCGAGGCCCGTCAGGCTATCATCAGGGCGAGTCTCTCTATGGTTTCGGCCCTCTCGCCAGCGGCGGGGGGTATGGCGAGCTTCAGGGAGAGAACGAGTGAGCAGCAGAGACACACCTATCTCTCTCTCTCTCTCTCTTTCTTTCTCTTCGTCTCTTCGTTGGTGTGTGCCATGACGGTTGATGTCGTGTCGGTATGGCATCAGGTATATGCAGGAGGGTCTGCTGATGGCGGACTACCCGCTGACGTTGGGCCACTCGCCTTACCACAGGGAGTACTACAGACATCCCCGATACTCATCGGGGGAACTCTTCGTGTACGAGCGAACGAGTGCTTAAGACACCCATCCATCCACACGTGTGTGGATTGTTGCCGTGTGGCTGTCAATCAGGTCGTGTGTGACATCGTCACTGATAGTGAACGCCTTGTTCAATCCCTCCCTGCCACTGCTGGTCAGGGAGATGGTCGCTAGCAGAATTCTGGTCAGTCCCTCAGACACACACGGTTGTACGCAGACGTGCAATCTGCACCGACCTGTGTGCAGGTGTTGTCGGTGCCTGCTTCCTTTGCTGGGAGACAGTATGAGGGGCTCGTCAAACACTTTCTCGACGAGCGGGTCAGGCGCCATATGCACAGTGATACATGAGACATGATACACACGTTAACTGCGAGAACTGTGCGTGTGAAATGTGTGCAGGATTTGCTTCCGATCGTCTTGTATCGCTCTGCCTTTGTGGACCCTGCTCTCTCGCCATTGCTCGAAAACAGCGCACTCAGCAACAAGGTGGGCACGTCATCCGTCAATGTACAGAAACGTACACAAGACTGGATGGATGGATGGATGTCTGTGTGCAGGTGGTGCCTGCGTCCAGTGCCCCTGATGCAGCTTCACAGACGCCCTTTCTGAGACGGCTCAAGACCGTGGGCAACTTGCTGGGTACGTATAGACGGACACGCGCATTCATTCATCCCTCTATCAACGTGTGCACATACATGACATGCAGGCAACGCCACGCCTCCAGCCCCCTCCCACTCCTTCACATGCCGCACACACGCCGGCAACTTCACCAGACGGTCTGCGTCATCCCTCGGCACCGATGACGACGACAAGCCAGGTACCCACTCGCATGCACAGACATATACAGACACATACAGACACGTGAATTCCTGTGCGGCTGTCACGCCATGCAACGCAGAGGGGGACGAGGGTCAGGCTGCCCCCTATTCCTTTGCTGAGTTGCGCAAGAAGCGACGGAGCAGATCGCTCGCCCCTGAAGCAGTGCACAAGGGTATGGTATAAATGAGCGTGCCTGTTCCTCCGTACGTATGTCTGCTGTCGTGCAGGGGCTGAGACGGATGGCGCCACCACGCCCGGAGGACGGTGCGCTCGTCCGTGTGTGTATATCAAATACCCATGTATACGTGTGTGTATATTTGTGCACAGGCCGGCCCACCCGTCCCGGCGCAAGTCGTTCCTGCGTCGGCTCTCCCTCGCACTGAGAATCGGCAAGAGCGACAGCATCGTCACCGAAGGGCAAGCAGCAGCCGCACATACACACAGAGAGAGAGACAGACAAATTTGTACACCCACGCGTGTGAATTGCACTGCACATACATACAGGCAAAAGCGGGGGTCAGAACAAGTAGAGACACCACCCCTCGTAAGCGTGCCGAGCGACGCCTACAGAAAAGAGAGACACGAGAGTATCGGTGTATTTGTGGCAACAGGTGACGGCCGCGTCTAGCCGTACTGCGGTGCTGAGAAAGCGGAAGAAGGGGAGGAAGGCGGTCGACAAGAAATATCCCGTCCGCGAGCCGCTCACCGCCATTCAGAGAAATGGCGGGTCCAAGAACCTCAGAATGCAAAAGTCAGCCATCTATGAAGCCACGAAGCCATCGATCAGACACACACACATTGAGTATGTCTGGTTTAGGTGGGTGTTGGTAGCACCGGCAGCGTCCACAACGATCGGCGCTCTCGATCAGGTGGGCATCGTCATTCGTGCCGATGTGCAGCACATCGTTTCCTTTATGTGTGTGTGTGCAGGTCATTTGCTTCTCGCCGCGAGCGAATTTGCATCTGTAGTAGTAGTTGGTGCACCCATTCACGCACAGACGGGTAGATTCGCTGCGTACGTATGTGCAAAGTAGCTGGGCACCCACGTGAGTGACAACGACGTGTGTGTTTCGGATTGTGTTTGCGTTCACTCGCCGGCTCGCTGGCCGGCCATTGTAGAAAGGGGAACAACAATGTAGCTAGCGCTTCGTGAGTCCATCCATGGTTCCAAACACTCTTGACTCTCTCATTGTCTGACCCATGCATGCGCCTGAATACATGAATCTTCGCTCACGTGCTTGCTGGCGTGTCTCGTGTGCGAATGGACGCAAAAATCGACGTGATATAAAATGTAGACAGCAATTTCTTTGCATCGTGCTTCCCTCTTGGCAAGATCGTGACACAGCTGGGGCGCTTTGACCTCGCCGTATTGGTCCCGCAGCTCCCGCAGCTCCGTGATGGGCATGCGTGAGTGCGGGACACGGCCAGGGGCGAGCGGCGCCCTCAGCTTGCCCTCGTTATACTCGCGGACGTTCAGGGGGCCGGGGGGGATACCAACAACTGCATGCACCGAGAGAGAGGAAGGGAGATGCAGTTGGTGTGATGGATCACCCCGCCGCCCATTCTCATGCGCATGGATGTATGTATATAGATACCTGGTCGGGCGGCGCCGGACGAGAGGCGGTCCCAATACTGGTGGCCCAGCGTCTCGCGGATGACCGTCTTGTTGATCTCAATCAGGGGCTGCATGAACTGCCAACAAGACAGCAGGCCTTCCTCCTTGTCTCCCTGTCTGCCGTGTGATTGTCTGTCCTTAAATACCTCATCTCTCGTGGTCGACAGCACCGGGCCGTGGAGTGTGGCGAGGGTCTCGTCAACGATCAAGTTGACGGCGTCATGGGGCATGGTGCATTTCACCGACAACTCGTCCACCACTGCACACACATCCACAGAGGGAGGATGGATGGGTGGCGTGCGTGTGCGTGTGCGTGAGCGTGTGCGTGTGCGTGTGCGTGTGTGTGTGTGCGTTTGTATGTGACCTTGTTGAGGTCGTTCTGGTGTTTCTCGACCAGCGCGAGGGCGTCGGGCAGATTGGCGACCAACCGTGGGCAGTTTCCCCCGCCGTTGATGAGGGCCGCCGCACAGAGCCCGCCTGCATGAACACGCAATGCAGGCACAACACAGGCGTGTGTGATGTTGTTATGTTTTCTCGTGATGTGTGTGTACCGAGGGAGAGCCCACACCATCTCGGGGTTGACAACGTCACCGATGCCGTTGGCAGGCTGGATGGCTATCTGAGTGAGTGAGAGCCACACACGTAGGGACATATAGATGATGAGTGGGTGTGGGTGTGGGTGTGGGTGACGGGTGTGTGTGGGGGGGGGGGGGGTTACATGTA